AGGAAGATGTAAGATAGTAATAAATTTCTGCTTCCTAGTCGAATAGTTGCAAATAAAATAGTACTAGAATAGAACTAGACCATAGATCACTGTGCTTGATTCACTTGCTCTGAAGTTAGAATTTTGCGACAATAGAATTCACTGTAGAAATATTCGGTAAGTACGAGGGTCGCCTTTTAAGTTTTTACAAACTTACCATTTTAAAAAAACAGAGTAGTTTATCTATAAGTGAACGTTTTAAAAAAGCAATTTTGTGAAAAAATTTAAATTTTACGTTAATATTTTCAATTTTTTTTCGATTTTAACATTCAGTGCTGATTCATTTCAGATATACTTTCTCTTTAAACTGTATAATTTTTTACATATTTACAGTGTGTCTACATAAGTTGGCTACATAATATAGAAAACTTTTTATTATTAGTTTTATAAAAAAAAAAATGTATTTTTTTGTAAAAAGTTCGGCATGGTCTAAAACCTAAAATTCAACCATCAGATATAAAATTTTATGAATAGTATACGAGGTTTGTCAAAAAAATTATTTTTGGTGAAGAATAAAGTACATTGTTTTTTGAAAAACCTCGTATACGACTTATAAAATTTGATATCTTAGGTTTTAGACCAAGCACAATTTTTAATCATATAATCTGAAATTTTATCAGTCATATACGAGGTTTGTTAGAAATAAAGATTCTTTATATTTTTTGGCGCGCCTCGTATACGGCTCAAAAAATTTAATATCTGATTAGTGAATTTTGGGTTTTAGACTATGCAGAACTTTTTATAAAGAATACATTTTTTTTATAAAACTAATAATAAAAAAGTTTACCATAGTAGCCAATTTATTTAGACGCGGTGTATATGTTTTAAATAGTGCTACTCGTAATCAAAATGCCCATGTATACAATAAGGAATAAGTATTGCAAGTAGTTTTCTCGCTACACAGAAAACCGATACTTACATGGTGTCAACTTACACTCGAAAACACTAGGATGCGGATTTTATTTATATTGTTCTCTCCACAACCTTTCAATACGGCGTCAAAACGACTCGGGTAGCACCGAATGGAGATACGGATTATTGGAGGGGTCAAAATGTTCTTGTCTCAAATTTTAGAAAGCAATAATTATTAGTGTTACAATAAATAATTTCTGGGTGCTGTAAAGAAGTAAAATGGAGTTCAATACATGGTTAAATAACCATAAACTAATAAAAAGTTATTTAAAAATTAAATATTTCAAAGCACATCCCGGTGAACTCATTTGGACTACAATTTAAAATTCTTTATTGTTTTTTAAATAAATCGTGTAGTCTTTTTGGGAATTTATAAAAAATCCAAAATTACAAAATTAAAAATATATTAAAATGAAGAAAATCTACCTATGAGTGTGAATATCTCGAAAATAAATCACTTCATGAGTGTCCAACAGGAGTACATGAATTATTTAAAAAACATTAAAAATGTAAACGTATAGTTTATATAAGTTTTTGGACAGTGGCGTAAAATTTAGAGCATATGCAAGTGTTACTTATCCATGTTGTACGCCACTGGTACAGTTTATTTATCTGATTGTTTTGCTAATAGGTTTATTTGATGATAACAACGTTTACCGAATTTAGTAAAATTATACCGAGAAATAAAAAAATATAGCAATTAATAATTTTTCAATTTTCAACTTTAACACCCTGTATTTCGGAGACCAGTAATATTTCATCCAAGCATGTTTCGTTTAATCTTCTTTTTAATCAGAGAATCTTTACTTGTTCTGTGTCCCATTCCTAATGAGAAACCCTGTATACGTAATATTTTGCAACTTTATTCCTGCTCATATAAAAAAATCTGATTCCTTTACTTCTACCAGTTTATACATTAAAAATATATGGTCCCTCTACGACTTACGCCTCTATAAGTAAACATATTTACCTCACTACCTCTTCAGCTTGCACATTAAAATTATTTGGTCCTTCCACTCCTTTCGTCTGCTCAAATAAGAATTTTTGACCCCTTCCTGCTCATCTAAAAGTATTTGAGCAAAAGCCAACACAAATAAAAAATATTTGGGGCCTTTACCTCTTAATCCTGTCCATGAAAAAAGAATTGATCAATTTATACCTTAAGCCTGTCCATTTAAAAATATTTAGTCACTTTATCCCTTTATACTTGGACCCTTCACCATTTACGCCTGTATATGTAAAAATAATTTGGGGCATTTACCCCTTAAGTGTCTATACATGTAAAAATATTTAGACACTTTACCCTGAACTTCTGCCCATGGAAAAATATTTAATCGTTTATCCTTTTCTCTCAGCTGTATGTAAATATTTGGAATCTTTACCCCTTAAGCCTGCTCATGTACAAATAATATTTAACCTTTTACCGTCTAAATGGCAATATCAAATTCAGATTCGTAGTCCATTCTAGAGTTCGTTAAAGATCGTGCAGAAATCATGCCTATGTCATTAACTTGTGTTATTCCCGTAAGATTACTATATTCCATTTTCAGTTATCACTACAACTATTAACTTGTTGTACTCTAGTGATAAAAAATCGATTAATAGAAACGAATTAATTGATCAAAAATAATCGATAAATCGAAAAGAATCGATTAATAGAAAATGATCGATTAATCGAAAAGATTCGATTAACCGAAAACAATCGATTAATCGAAAAGAATTGGTTAATCGAAAATAATCTGTTAATCGAAAAGAATCGATTAATAGACAAAATCGATTAATTCAAAACATTCGATAATAATCGAAAATAATTGATTCATTGAAAAGAATCGAATAATTGAAAAGAATCAATTAAAAAGAATCGATTAATCGATAATAATTGATTAATCGAAAATAATCTATTACTCAAAAATAATCGATTAATCAAAAATAATCGATAAATCGAAAAGAATCGATTAATAGAAAATAATCGAATAATAAAAAAGTTTCGATTAATTGAAAACAATCGATTAATCTAAAAGGATTGACTAATCGAAAATAATCGATTAATAGAAAATTATCATAATAGGAAAGAATCGAATAATCGAAAATAATCGATTTTTGATCAATCGAAAAGAATTGATTATTTTAAAAAATCAATTAATTAAAAAAAATCTTAAATAATTAGTTAATCGAAAAAAAATCGATTAATAGAAAATAATTGATTCATTGAAAAGAATTGATTTATTGAAAAGAATCATTTAAAAAGAATCGATTAATCGATAATAATTGATTAATCGAAAATAATCGATTAATCAAAAATAATCGATAAATAAATAATCGATTAATCTAAAAGAATTGACTAATCGAAAATAATCGATTAATAGAAAATTATAATAGGAAAGAATCGAATAATCGAAAATAATCGATTTTTGATCAATCGAAAAGGATTGATTAATATAAAAAAATCGATGATAATCGATTAATCTTAAATCATTGATTAATCGAAAAAAAATCGATTAATAGAAAATAATCTATTAATAGAGATAAATCGATTAATTGAAAAGAATCAATTAATTAAAAAGAATCGAATAATCGAAGAGATTCGATTTTTAATCATTCTAAAAGAATCGATTAACATAAAAAAAATCGATAAATTAAAAAAAAATCGATAATGATCGATTAATCTTAAATAATTGATTAATCGAAAAAAAAATCGATTAATAGAAAATAATATATTAATATAGAAGAATCGATTAATTGAAAAGAATCAATTAATTAAAAATAATCGAATAATCGAAGAGATTCGATTAATCGATAATAATTCATTAATTGAAAATAATCAGTTAATCGAAAAGAATCGATTAATCGTAAATAATCGATTATTCCTAAAGAATCGATTATTTTTTAGAAATCGCCCGGCCATAACGTTTTTAGCAAGTATTTTTGGCAAAAAAATATTTAAATATCAAGTTTTATATGAGTAATTGGAATTTTTTAATTAATTTATAGAATGCTAAAATCTACCAAAGAAAAGGTCTACTAAAATTAGCCAAAAAAGCTGAAAATCTACCAAATGTGACAACGTTGGATGAAAGACCCCCAGTCAGAGTGACCTTGGCCCAAGCAACGTCTAGTCGTTGAACCAAGGGAAATAAACTGTCGTGACGTAATCTACGTGCGATGCACAAAATGATGCTAAAAATAGCGTGGTTTCAAGCAGACACACTTTGTTTCATGGATCTTTTGACCTCTCTTTTTAACTACAGGCATTCGCGGAAACCTCTCGCGTTCAATCAACATATTGCACCGACAGACGTTACCAGTCAGAGCGCACTGAGGTACAAAAAAAGTAAAGATTAATACGTACTAAAATAATAAATATATTAAAAGTAAATTTATATTTTTAAGTTATTTAGGTGATTTTAAAATAATGTGTTCACTGCACTAATGAACCAATGGAGAAACCGCACCTGATTTCTTTGTTTTCGTCGGCCCCTTGGGTTCCATAGGTCTCGGTCAAATATACGGAGAATTAGTTCGAACGTTGGCAGTAGTGTATGAAGCTTAAATACGATTATTTTGAAAAACTATAAAAGATTTATACCAAAAAATTATTTTTCTTCATTATTTTGTAAAAACTAACAAGGTAACCCTCATAAGACTTACGAAAATACAGTTTACATCGTCAACTTCATTTGTGATGTTTGCACTGTTTAGGTCTGCTGTTCTTGTCATCTGTTACTGAATGTTTCAGTTTATTAAAAATAATTACTTGAAAAAAAATTTATTTGTTCTATGGAATTCTATACCTCACTAAAAAACTCTGTTAACTACTTTCCATATAAATTGTAAAATTACCAACGTCGAATTTTTAGGGTACATTAACAAGTTCCTCAAGTGGCCACTCTGACGACAAATGGTACGATTTTCTACAAGAATTCGAGGCGCCCCCTATACCCCACAAGACGACCCAGCAGCAGCAACAGCAGCAGCAGCACGTCTCCCGCCTTCACCACACCAACAACACCTTTCCTAATACTCCGAAACGGAACAATTCCCATTTGCAGGTACCTCAAAACAACCAGTACCCCATCCAGCACAACAAGATACATCTGAGCAATTCGCTGCCTCTGCAACACGTCAGTATGTCCCAACCGTTGACGGCGGCTTTACATAACAGTACGAACGACATGGACGTGTACAAAAGCGAAAAGAATAATTTAATAAAGCAGCATAATGAAAGACTAAGACAAGAAAGTGATTATATGAGCACCAGGCCTTCTAGGTCGGATTACGCTACAGTACAAAGTTTAAATAACGATTTTTGTAGGTTAAACGTCAACGATAGTCATTCGAATGACAGTTCTATAAGCGAAAGAATCAATTTGATTGGCAGCGAAGAAGAATTGTCTACAGGTGCTGGAAACGCTTCTCCTAGAACTCGTAGAGCAGCGAAACATGCTCAAAATTACACGAATCGAAACCAAAGTCCTAGATCGCTAAATGGTGAAGCCAAATTAAGACCTGGAGTAACTTCTCGTAGCTCTAATAGAAACAGCGCAAATTTATCAAACTTTCAAGAAGAATTGCTCCGATTAATCAATCCCGACAACATAGAACAGACGGAGCAAAAAGTAATGAAAGACTCGAAAAACCATTCTAGAGAAAATTTGAATAACGCTTTGAGCATTCACAAGCCTCAATCTCAACCCGAAGTGATTTTGACGATGGCTCGTCCGGCTACGGTTATTTCTAACGCTAGTACTACCTCAAGTCCGTTGCCGATCGAATTTAAGAGGGCTCAAGACGATCCTCACGTGCCTTTAACCAAAATGAAAACTACCGTTAGTTTTCCCGACGAGTTTCCTTTGCCCGAGGACGGCGATTGGCCGAGTTTGGTCGATACGGCGACTTGTTTCATGAATCAAGTTGGTTCGTGTGATGGCGGTAAGGAGATGGAAGTGAATAGGTGCTGGGATGGGGATGGTGTTATAGATGCTTCTATTACTTCGACGTAAGTATTTTAATATTTTATGATCATTGATCTGTAAAGTTTTCACTTAGAATTAACCATATTTCATTTATTTGGAGTATAATATCTGTCTTTATAAATTTATCATTGTCTTAAAAGGTTTATCATCGTGCTTTGATCTCACTTAGGATGAACTATAATTAATTTCTTTGCAGTATGATCTGCATATGTATCTTTTGTAAGGATGGCCGGTATTTTTACAAATAAAACGTTTAGCTTCAACTAATTTATTTACCATGCATAATAATTCAACATGTATAACCACAGACCTCTTCGTGAACGTGTTCCTGTCATAGAATGTATGATTTATTACATAAAACACAGCATAAATAAGGGGTACCACCTTGAACAATGGTTCTCAAAGGAAACCAAAAGTGTTACCACCTTAAAATGCTTGATGACCTGAAGGTTATGCAACCCTTTATACAATAGTGGTGGTGAACAGGTAGCATATTTACAATCGTATACAATAAGTACTACACTTTCTTATTTCTTCATAAATATATCGTTATCCTAAAATGTTTATCATGCCTTAACCTGAAACGAGTTTCCACCTATACTCGGATAGTAAACCAAAGAACCTATTAATCATATTTTTTATTGACTCGATAATAACATAATTCTAACAATTGTCGTTTCAAATAAGAATGTAATAATCTCCGACTTGTTGCAGTAAGAATCTATCCTTGAAACTTGTACACTAATGCAATTTTCATCTTTTGAAATAAATGTATCTATCAGAATTTTTTCCATATTTATTAAATTAATATTTTGTTGGACAGAGATGCGTCTATTAAATACGTCTTTCTTTGAAATTCTTTGAAATTCTTTTAAATTCTTTTAAATTCTTTTAAATTCTTTTAAATTCTTTTAAATTCTTTTAAATTCTTTTAAATTCTTTTAAATTCTTTTAAATTCTTTTAAATTCTTTTAAATTCTTTTAAATTCTTTTAAATTCTTTTAAATTCTTTTAAATTCTTTTAAATTCTTTTAAATTCTTTTAAATTCTTTTAAATTCTTTTAAATTCTTTTAAATTCTTTTAAATTCTTTTAAATTCTTTTAAATTTATTTAAATTTATTTAAATTCTTTTAAATTAGTTTAAATTATTTTAAATTCTTTTAAATTCTTTTAAATTCCTTTCTTTTAAATTAATTTCTTTTAAATTCTTTTCTTTTAAATTCTTTGAAATTCTTTTAAATTCCTTGAAATTCTTTGAAATTCTTTTAAATTTTTGGAAATTCTTGAAAATTCTTGGAAATTCTCGGAACTTCTCAGAAATTCTTGGAAATTCTTGGAAATTCTTGGAAATTCTTCTAAATTCTTTCAAATTGTTTCAAATCCTTCTAACTTCTTCGAAATTCTTCTAAATTCTTCCAAATCCTTCTAACTTTTTCTAAATTCTTGGAAATTCTTGGAAATTCTTCTAAATTCTTCTAAATTCTTCTAAATTCTTCTAAATTCTTCTAAATTCTTCTAAATTCTTCTAAATTCTTCTAAATTCTTCTAAATTCTTCTAAATTCTTCTAAATTCTTCTAAATTCTTCTAAATTCTTCTAAATTCTTCTAAATTCTTCTAAATTCTTCTAAATTCTTCTAAATTCTTCTAAATTCTTCTAAATTCTTCTAAATTCTTCTAAATTCTTCTAAATTCTTCTAAATTCTTCTAAATTCTTCTAAATTCTTCTAAAATCTTCTAAATTCTTCTAATTTCTTCCAAATTATTCCAAATATTTCCAAATTCTTCTAAATTCTTAGAAATTCTTCCAAATTCTTTCAATTTTTTCCAATTTCTTCCAAAAATTTTTCCAAATTCTTCCAAATATTTACAAATTCTTTAAAATTCTTTAAAATTCTTTAAAATTCTTTAAAATTCTTTAAAATTCTTTAAAATTCTTTAAAATTCTTTAAAATTCTTTAAAATTCTTTAAAATTCTTTAAAATTCTTTAAAATTCTTTAAAATTCTTTAAAATTCTTTAAAATTCTTTAAAATTCTTTAAAATTCTTTAAAATTCTTTAAAATTCTTTAAAATTATTTAAAATTATTTAAAATTATTTAAAATTCTTTAAAATTCTTTAAAATTCTTTAAAATTCTTTAAAATTCTTTAAAATTCTTTAAAATTCTTTAAAATTCTTTAAAATTCTTTAAAATTCTTTAAAATTCTTTAAAATTCTTTAAAATTCTTTAAAATTCTTTAAAATTCTTTAAAATTACTTAAAATTCTTTAAAATTTTTCTAAATTCTTCCAAAGTCTTCCAAATTTTTCCAAATTTTTCCAAATTTTTCCAAATTTCTTCCAAATTTTTCCAAATTCTTCCAGATTTTTCCAAATTCTTCTAAATTCGTCCAAATTCTCTTAAATTCTTCTAAATTCTTCCAAATTCTTCTAATTTCTTCCAAATTATTTCAAATTATTCCAAATATTTCCAAATTCTTCTAAATTCTTAGAAATTCTTCCAAATTCTTAGATATTCTTCCAAATTCTTTCAAATTCTTCCAAATTCTTTCAATTTTTTCCAATTTCTTCCAAATTTTTCCAAATTCTTCCAAATATTTACAAATTCTTTAAAATTCTTTAAAATTCTTTAAAATTCTTTAAAATTCTTTAAAATTCTTTAAAATTCTTTAAAATTCTTTAAAATTCTTTAAAATTCTTTAAAATTCTTTAAAATTCTTTAAAATTCTTTAAAATTCTTTAAAATTCTTTAAAATTCTTTAAAATTCTTTAAAATTCTTTAAATTTCTTTAAATTTCTTTAAATTTCTTTAAAATTCTTTAAAATTCTTTAAATATCTTCTAAATTCTTCCAAAGTCTTCCAAATTTTCCCAAATTTCTTCCAAATTTTTCCAAATTCTTCCAGATTCTTCCAGATTCTTCCAGATTCTTCCAGATTCTTCCAGATTCTTCCAAATTCTTCTAAATTCATCCAAATTCTCTTAAATTCTTTCAAATTCTTCCAAATTCTTTCAAATTCTTCCAAATGCTTCCAAATCCTTCCAAATTCTTCCAAATTCTTCCAAATTCTTCCAAATTCTTCCAAATTCTTCCAAATTCTTCCAAATTCTTCCGAATTCTTTCAAATTCTTTTAAATTCTTTCAAATTATTCTAAATTGTTCTAAATTCTTCCAAATGCTTCCAAATTCTTCCAAATTCTTCCAAATTCTTTCAAATTCTTCCAAATTCTTCCAAATTCTTTCAAATTCTTTCAAATTCTTTCAAATTCTTTCAAATTCTTTCAAATTCTTTCAAATTCTTCCAAATGCTTCCAAATTCTTTAAATTTCTTCCAAATTATTCCAAATTTTTCTAAATTCTTCGAAATTATCCGAAATTTTCGAAATTCTTCGAAATTCTTCGAAATTCTTCGAAATTCTTTGAAATTCTTTGAAAATCGAATTAACTTTATAATCTTTGATCTTACTTAATACATTTTTCACTTTGGCTGATCCATATTTAATTTCTTGAAAGTGATCTGCATCCGAAATACGATGATTTAAAAATAATAACTTAATATTTATTCTAACAAATTTTGAGAACTTAGTACATATTACTTGCTGAGACCTATAGTGGCGAAACTCAAAAATCGTAGTTTTGAGATACGTAATCGAGTTTGAAGTTTTATTTTGTTTTTTATGTGCTATTTTTGTAATAAATGATAAAAATTTGTACATATTTTAGCTTTGCCCTTTATATTGTGTGGTACATATCCGTACCATAGAAAATGTGGGTAGTTCCACTATGTATTTATTGATTTTCAAAAAAAAAAAAAAAAAAAAACTATAATTTTGGTCTTTTCTACGCATACAACAGAAAAATGTTGGTGGTATAAATATGTACCACAAAATTTTTAAATTATATTTGATCAAAACTTCTAAATTTCAGGGTAAGCTCGAGTACGAGTGTCCCAGAGCTGCAGAGCCACGTGGCGGAATTGGAATCTAAAGTGACTTTAGAAACGCGACGTAGACTTTCCTTGGAGCACGAAGTGCGCAGACTCAAGGAAGAAAATAGAAAATTGCAGGATCAGGCGCACGCCGCCGTTCAGCAACTCAGGAAATTTACCGAATGGTTCTTCAAAAACGTGAAGAGGCAGTAATAATTTTTATTATTATTTTTTTAGTATTTTAGTTTACATTACTTGAAATGATAATGTAGATTTTTTTCAGCATTGATTTTAAATATTTTAAAATTAGTAAATTTATTTTATAATAGAAAAAATTTGACTGAAATTCACTCTACATTAAAAACTTTTACTTTTGAGTAAATATCGTTTAAATTTCAAGTAAATGTAAACAGCGATTTTTATTCGTAAATTTTTTTAACGAAATACCATGTTTTATTGTTGATTTAAAATTTTCAATTTTTTTTTTTTAGACGCATACAGGGTGGTGAAACTTTAATTATTAAACGCTTTGGATTTTTATCCGTTATAGATACAACGTTGATTAAATGGGAAAAAAGATGCGCATTTTTAAAACGAATTTAGTGGTATTTTTTTAAATTAAAAAATCAGGACCGGTTTTCGAGATATTTGGGTAAAAACAAAATTGACTTTTTTTTTTAATTTTTGATTTTTGTTTTTAAAAATCGTCCCCTGGTTCACCGAATAACAGCGCGATATGTATTGGGTGACCTTCTTCAATCTCAAATTTTATCATATAAATAACATGGTTACCCCAATTAGCCATTTCTAATATACTTGTCAAGTTTTTACCCATTTTACTCACCTTTAGTACGACAATTCTCAAAAATATTACCCCTTTCCCTAAATTACCCCTCAATTTTTTTTACATAATTTTGTCAAAAAATACCCCAAATTTTACCATATTTCCTTCAACTATTAAACTTTAAAAACAAATTTTACCTCTTTTCAGCTACATTTATAGTTTTTTATAATATTATCCCAATTTTGCCATTTTCACAATACCTATTTCGTCAAAAAAAAATCATGTTACCCCAAATTACCCCTAAAAAACACAATTTTCTCTTTGTCTTACAGTGGGGGCGGTTTTATTTAATATACTTTTTGGCAATTTGTTACCCATGTTTAGTGTGACACATTTCCCAAATATTACCCCAAAGCGTTTCACACTTGTCAATAATTACTCCCAAATTTTGCACAATATTATTACAAAATTATTCAACAAAATTGCATTTAAAAACAAATTTAGTTTTTTCTTATATTACCCCAAATTTTACCACTTTCCCAAACGACTTCCTCGATACCGTTTTCTTTCTTGTTACCCTAAATTTGCCCCTGAAAAATACTTTGGCCGGGACTCAATGTCTTACAGTGGGATTTTCTTCAATTTTACCATCTGAACTACACTGTTACCCCGATTGACAAAAATTTCCCCAAATTTTGTCCCATTTTATTCAAAAATTAATCCCTCCCTTCTCAAAAAAAAATCAGATGTCTTTTCTTCTAATATTACCCCAAATTTAACCATTATCCCAAAAAATTTCACTAATACTGAATTCGTCAACATTTTTCCATTTTAACCCAAATTGTCCCTAAAAAAATACTTAGGCCAGAATCCAATTTCCGCTCTAATTACAGTGGGGTTTCTCCAATTTTACCATCTGAACTACAGTGTTACCCCAATTACCCATTTCTAATCCAACTGTTAACAAAATTTTACCCTTTTACTTCCGTTTAGCATAAAATTTCTCCAAATATATTACCCCTTTTCCAAAATAGGCTCCAAATTCACCTCCTTTCGTCAATAATTACCCCAAATTTTACATTATTTTCGTCAACAACCCTCCACGTTTTACTTCATTTAAAAATAAATGTTACTTTTATTCTATTGTTGGTCCAAATTTTTTGGCAAATTTACGCAACTGTATCCCATTTTTCTTCAAAAATTACCTCAAATATTCTCAAAGTTACCCCAACTTTACGTCTTTTCCAAAAAATATCCCAATACCGATTCTTTCCCAAATTTGTCGAATTACCCCCCAAAAAATTGAAATGGGTAATGGCTATGTATTCTGCGCCAGAAGGCGAATTATATTACATCCATGTATAACGTTCTTGCACAATTTGGATGATTTTTTACCTTGGAAACCCAAGTTTCTATCTGACCTAAAGTTACCCCCGGTTTCTCCAATTTTATGATCAAAACTACACTATTACCCTAATTAGCCATTTCTAATACACTTATTAGGATTATTTTACCCTTTTCGCTCCCATTTAGTACTGTAATTCTCCCAAATATTACCCCTTTCTCTAAATTACCCCAATATTTCGCTATTTTATTCAACAATTAAATGCAAGTGTTCCTCACTTTTCAAAAAAAAATACCATTTTTTTCTATTATCCCCAATTTTACCACTATCCCAATATCGATTTCCATCAAAAAAATTCTGTTACCTCAAATTACCCCTGAAAATACTTAGGTCAGAACACAATTCCCCTCTGACTTACAGTGGAGTTTTTTTTTAATTTATCATCTGAATTATACTGTTTCCCAATTACACATTTTTCTAATTTTTACCCCTTTTACTCCCGTTCATAGCAACATTTTACCAAAAACAGCACCCTTTTCGCCAATAATTATCCCTATTTTCTTCAAAGTTTTACTTCACATAAAAAATAAATGTTACCACTTTTATTCTTTTATTCTGCTAAACTTTTTTGTCAAAATTTTCTTCTAAAATACCCCAATTATTCTCAAAGTTACCCCAAATTTTACATATTTTCCAAAAAAAAATACCCCAATACCAATTTCGTCAAAAATTGCTCCTGTTACTTCAAATTACCTCTGAAAATTACTTATGACCTATAATGAGGATTTCTTCAATTTTACCATCTGAACTACACTGTACTCTAATTACACATTTATAATTAATTTCTTAGGAAACTTTTACCCCTTTTACTCCCATTCATCACAACATTTCTCCAAAATTACCTTTATTTTCTTCAAAGTTTTAGCTCATTTAAAAAATAAATGTTACCCCTTTTATTCTGCTATTACATCCCAAATTTTACTAATTTTCTGCTAAACTTAAACAATTTTACCACAATTTTCTTCTAAAATTACCTCAAGCATACTCAAAGTTACCCTCATTTTTATCTTTTTTACAAAAAATACCCCAATATCGATTCTTTCCAAATTGTTCTGTTATATTACTCGCCAAAAAATACATCTCAAACTGAATCTGGTTGTGGAATATCTGCAAAAGTACGTTTATATATTTTTAAAAGAGTTTTATGTTTTCAAAATTGATGTAACTTTTCTTTCGGATATTCGACTTAACTTTTAGAAATATAAGTTATCTCAAAAAAGAATTTAATTTAGATCAAAATAACAGAACAAAAACAACAACTTCTATGTCATAAACGCTACCTGGTACAACTGTTGTACCACCTGTTCGATTGTTGTTTTAACCTAGCAACACGAATTCAAAATTTACTTATATTATACAATACACTAAATAAAATGGACGACATTAAAACATTCGTTGCTGGTACAAGGTGTGTACCAGAAAAGTTATTTCAAAATAATGTTGTTGATTAATCAAAACGAAAATATTCAATTTCGGTTTTACCCAAATATCTCGAAAACCGGACCTGATATTAAAATTTTTAAAAGAACCAACAAATTCGTCTTAAAAACACGCATCTTTTGCCTATTCAACAAACGTTGTATCTATTAAGAATGATAAAATAATCCCCATAGTGTTTAAATTAAATTTTCTCCATACTTTTTTTTGTGAATCTTCTGTTAATTTACTCGAACTATCGAAATTCTTATTATTTTATTTTCGTTAAAATTATTATTTTTTAAAATCGGAAAAGACAAAACAGCTTGATATGTAAATATGTACAATTTTTATTAATCATTTAGATTAATCATACAGTGTGAGTCAAAAGTAAGAATTAAATTCGATAAAATACAGAGTTGATTTTTGAAAAAAATTTCAAAGACATCGATTTCATTTTTAAATTCGCATTTTTTTGAGATAATATTCGGATATACAGGGTGATGCTAGTAAAAAAGAACATAAATGCGTTTTTCAGTCTTCATAATTATTTTTCTCAACAATTTCCTTAATGTAAGGAAACAAACTTATTACATTACCATGTTGGTAATTGGCATTTAGTGGGAGTGTCAGAATGTGGAATAAAAAATGCAGATGACATTTATTGATTATCCGTTAACGTCATTTTTCACCAATCACGGGATGATTTTGTGTGTAGCCTAACATAACCCAACTTTTTCTTCTTTTTTCTTATTTAGTCTTCACCCGATCACCCGTCAGTCATTAAAATATAAAATTCACAAAATTTTTTTGAAGGATGGCAAAAAATTATTATTTTGGAAAAATAAAAGCATCAAGTATGTTGACAGGTTAAAAATTATGACTATATTATGACGTGCCTCTTTATATGAAGTAAAAAATGACGTATTTACGTCACATTAGGTAATTGACGTCTAAGACAAATTATTACCAAAAAAAAAATGATATTGCGAACATCGACGTGCTATTTGGTTACATTTACATGTAATATCCTGTATATCCGAATATTACTTCAAAATGTTCTGAATTTAATAAAAATTGACCTGTTTTTGGATTTTTTTCGAAAAATCAATACTGTTCCTTTTCTCAAATTATTTTTTTTTACTTTTAACTCTCATCGAATGGAAATTTTAAACCTACTTGTATATTGTATGTTATAGTACAAACATTTTCTTATTTATTCTTATTAAAAAAAAATATCAATATTAAGTTTGGTAAGTTTGTAACAATATTGCTTAATATTTAAAATCGTTCATATTCTAATGTTACTAGTTACCACGGTTTTTAGTCCAGTTAAGGAATGGTTTCTAGACAAGAGTTTTCTGCATACTTTTTTTACTTTTAGGCTGCATTGGGAGGTATTTGTAGACGAAAATAACGAAATTTCGGTGGTCTGTTTGCATTTTCGCATATATCTTGATAATTGTTGGTCCTTGCGAAAATGTTCTTATAAACAAAAATAAAGGTGATAAAATTTGGCAAAAAATAGTTCCTATTCATTTTTTTATCCTTGTCTGTTTTTTGAGTTATAAGCAGTTGAAAGAAAAATCACAATTTTTCCAAAAAATA